CTGTTTGTTTGTTGGGGTTTTTTTTATTTTCAGAGATCTGGACATGTCAGAGTTCCTGATCAACCCCAACGCCGGGCCCTGTCGCTATGACCTCATCGCCGTGTCCAACCACTACGGCGGGATGGGAGGCGGCCATTGTAAGAGAGTCACCCAGTTTTCTGTTTGAATTCCTTTCCAGGTTTACAGATTTCTAGTTTATTTTTGAACAAAACTCACTTTTAAACCTGCTTAAAGTCAATGATTTATGTTTTTGTGATCTAGAAAAAGAGCAAGAGCTCTCTTTATTTGCAAATACGCTGTAGTAGTTTTTGTTTTACACTTTTTAAAGCAACATTAAACATTCTCTTATAATCATTTTTGACTTTCACTTGGATTGTGCGGAAAGATGTTTGTGCCGATTTAGGCATTTCCTAGACATGAACTATTAACAAAAAAATCTGATTACTGCCAGATTAAACATGATGAAAATATTGGTTTATGAACACAATAATTTGTTTGATTTAATCTCTACACATGGATTGTTTTATTTAAAAACTGTTTAAAGTTTTTAAGCGTTCACTTGAAGGTGTTTGGAATATGTTGACGCCTTAAACAAAATTCTAGTGAGGAAAAAATAAAAGTGAATTGGGGGAAAATCTTAGTGCATTTAATAAGATCCAAATTCTGGGTGTAAACAAATGAAAAGTTGGATGTCTCACTTTATTATCTGAAAGCAAGAAAAAAAACATCTGGAAAAATAAAAACAAAACATTTTCTATATATATGATGATCTTATTTTTTTGTTGCATCTCACAATTTGAGTCTTTGTTCAGTTCATTGACCTGATCTGGGGGTTTTTATTATTATTTAACTTAGTGACATAAAGACATTACCAATAAAACCTCATTTCAAGGCTTCTGCATTTTTCTGTGGATTATCCAGTCCAGAGGTCTTTGTATTGTAGATTTCAACAAGCTAAGAGTTTTTCCACATCCCAGAAAAAATTGGAAATTGCTCTTAACTGTGTTGTCTTGTCTAATCTGGAAAAATATAAGTCAAACCAGGCAAACATTTTAGTATCGAGTAATATTATTCCGTTTTAAATTAAAATGAGCTTTTCTCCCCAGACACTGCATATGCTAAGAACAAAGAAGATGGGAAGTGGTACAACTTCGATGACAGTAGTGTGTCTCCTGCCAGCGAAGACCAAATAGTGGTGAGTGTCCTGAATTGAACTTTATTTCACATAAATGAAATGCAACAATGTCCCCTATGAAACCGCCTTGTTCGTACGCAGAGGAAACCCGATAATAAAGCCCAACATTCATGCGAGTGCTCGAAATCCTGGAAAATACAAAAAAAAATTGTATTTAGTGTTTTGAAGTTTTGGAAAGTGCTTGACGTTCAAATTGCAGAGTTTTGTAATAAAGTTCAATCTAAAAGCCTATAAATGGAAACAATTTACAGTTGAAACCTGACATTTTCGCGCACCTAATAAAAACGTCCACCTTTTTTTCCTTGGAAGTTAAATTAGACCAAACGTTGATCGTTTTAGCTTTGGTTGACAACTTACCTTAAAATGCTTGAGAAATGCTTTAATTATAGTGTGAGAGCTATGGACGTCTCATTGAGCATCACACTGATCAAAATATCATATGAAAAAGAGAACGGTAAAACACAATTATCCACCTAAAGTAGGTGGAAAAGAGAGACAGTCGATCAGAAAAGCAGCCAATTTATGTTTCATGTCTTACCTCATTTTTGCCAGTAGATGTCACTTTGGTTTTGGGGAACATTTTCACTGTAGAATATAATGTTGGTTATTTTTGGCATAAAACCGGACCGTGAAACAACAAACAGGAGTTTTTGTGCACAAAATGTTGCTGACCTAAGAGGCAGAATATATGAACTTATTTTCTAGGAAAAAGCTAACAATTTTACTTGTCTTTATTTTTCTTTTTCCTTTTTTTAAATTTTTTTTTACATTTTCAGCATCATTGTTAACTTTCCCCTGTTCTGTGTTTGCCTAGTCCAAAGCTGGCTATGTGTTGTTCTACCAGCGCCAGGACACTGTTAAAGGCACGGGCTACTTTGCTCTCGACCGCGAGGAGGAGGAGAATGAAGAGGAGGAAGAGGAAGGTGAGGATGATGAGGAGAACGAAGCGGAAGAGCTGGTAGAAAGAAGGACTGTCTCGTCTTCTCAGGGTGCCTGCGCCGCTGCGCAAAGCGACGAGGAGGAGCCAGTCCAGAACAAGAGCAGTAAAAATGACATCAACCAGGAAGAAGAGGAAGAGGAGGAAGAAGAAGAAGAGGAACAGGTATCCAATCGAGACATTACCATGAAAACCAACTGAGGTAAATGCCTACATGAACAAGAGAGCGAGAAAGGGATCTGTCCATCAAAAAGCCATATGGACGCATGGCGTGGCAGCGGCCGCCGCCGCCGCTGCCCGACGGCGCGGACTGAGCCGCCGCCAGGACGACGACTGTTCGGCGGGGGGCGGGGAGAGGAGCTGCCTCGGTACGCAACTCTAAGAAATCAGGACCCTCCTGTGGGTGAATCACTGTGTGCGCGTGTGTGTGTGTGTGCGTGTGTGTTTTTGAGCGAGTGCGTCGCCACGTTAACTCATTAAACATCTGCTGTGTGAACAGAACAAAGTGAGACCGACGACGACGGCGCCTCCAGCAGGCGCCGCGCTCTGAATCTCCGCTTTTTCTTTTTTTTTTTTTTTTATCATTTGAGCAGTGAATTGTTTTGGATATCGTATTAGTATTATTTCAATTTTGTAAATATTTTAAAACACTGAATTGCATTGAGTTTTCACGATGCGCTGAAACATTGTTTTGAACTTGCACAAACACAACCTCTCCCATTTCCTGGTGACGCCAGACAAACTGCAGCAGCTGCTTTTAGTGAGCCGGCTTCATGGTCTATAACCCAGGCTTTACGTCGACAAGCGATGCCCGCCGTTGTATTCCTCATCGTGATTGGCTGCATTTTAACTCCAAGAATGTGTTGCGAGCTAAAGCAGCCTGTGTTAGCCAATGCTGTGCATTCTTCTGCAGTAAATACGTGCTAGAAAGAAAGTTCCACACTGCCAATCTTCTCGTCAATGTATCCATCTGAAGCTTTAGTCCTTGTATGTATTCTCCTGTTCATCTTCAAGGTGTGCCGGGACTAAGAACCAGAGACACACCGATCACAATTTTTTCGGCCGATTTCTGATATTTCTTTTTTTAAAGCTTTGGCCTGCTTCGACATGATTCTGGCTGATTTTAAATCTTTAAGATTCAGAATATTTCTTTCCTTCCATCCTGTCATGAGCAAGCGCTAATTATTGAGCAGAGGTGACGTCACACCGTGTGTGAGAGCAGGCACTGTAAAACAAGGTTTTACTCATTTAAAACGGGGACGAAATGATCGCTCGGTTGACATTTTAAACCGTCTTTAGCCTTTTTATATTAGCAGTTAGCACGGCTAGCGCTCCCTGTGTATTCCCTATAGATTGTGGATGTGTAACATTTCCATACAAAGCATGATCCTTTACATTATGGATGGAAGCTCAAAAAGGTCAAACTAACTAATTTTGTTCCTCTTATCTTTCTCTTTGACACACATCCGTCGTTCCCTCTTAACTTCGAACACCCAACTAACACTACTAAAGAATAACTTCACATGATGTGTTTGACCAAACAAAAAGGTAAAATAAATTTTCTTTTGCTACCGACGTCTAAAGAAATCAGTGCTGAATAATTGTCCGATTCCTGCGTTCATCCATATATTTTTTTTGTCACAGACATCCGATGCATCGTCCGTCGTTGAAATCACCTCGGCCTTAACTTTGAAATGTGAAACCAGTCGCCTTGTTGTTCGCACGACGACCCGCTCTCCCCCCACTTCTCACGTCAAAAACGCCACGTGACGAATGTCCGTTCCATTCTTGCTTGCTGCCGTCTCGCGTCCGCGACGCCTCGAAGTCTCGACTTTGTAACCCACAAGAGAGGGCTAGAATGTACAGTGAACTGAATGAACAAAGACCACAAGTATGTGAATGATGCCTTTCGGTTTACGAATTTCCCCTCACGTTTTTTTTTCCGGCCCTCTCTTATGCTTTCTGTTAACAGGTTCTCCGCCTTTGATGCTGGCTGTATGAATTTCTGGGAAAACATTTCCGCCTGCGTGTATGTGTGTGTGTGTGTGTGTGTGTGTGCTTCTTTGATTTGAAGCAGGGAAACGTGGGGATGGGGGCGGGTTGCGGGGAATCAACCGAAAACAGTGGGGTGAGTCGGCCTGAGGCACCTTTTCGGCTTGCAGGACCATGATGCAGTGAAATTTATATCGTGGCAGGATAATCGTCCATCCATGTGACTCGTTTCGAAGCCGTTCTTTGTTGCAGACGACATCTATTTTGCCTCAGAATAGAAGACCACGCCGTTACGAGCATCTTCGTGCTCCGGCTTCAACGGGCCGCCTCGCGTTTTGATTTTTTCTTTAGGACAACTCACCCCATCCGGACTGAGTGAGACACGATCGCTTCAATAGGCTTATATGATATTGTACAGAAGAGTTCACTCTGTGAGTGCACATTTGATAAAGTTTATTTATTTATATGTAAGCATTTAATAATGAACAGACAATATATTTAAAGCCTTGGCAAGACCCGGAGGAGTCGGGGCATTCAGTTATACACTAGTTTGCGAAGTCTTGTCCAGGGAGGGAATATTTTTTTAAAAAAAGGATTTTTTGGTTGTTTTTTTTCTTCCTGTTTTTGGGACTTTTTTTTTTTTTTTTTTGGTTTGTTTTGTAAAGATAATTCAGATGTTCTTGCATGATGATGTATGGGGGTTTCCAGGTTTGGCTGCACTTGAGTTCACTTGGGTTTACATTTGAATTGTGCATGTGTATTTATACACAATCTACAATAAAGTTGTGTAAAGCTTCCCGTGTGTCATGCATAAATGTGTATTTGCATGTACCAGTCATCGGTGTGAACGCTGCCTTGTTTTGGGCTTTTATTGATCTATTTGTACAAGAAAAAAAATATCCCCAAGTGAAGTTGAATCAATAAGATATCAATAATCCTGCTTTGAATATTTTTATTAATTGTTTGGGGTGTCAGTATTCCTCATGAAAGGGGTACTCTGGATGATCAGCCCAACTGTTGAGTCAGTAAAAAGAAATATGAACATCGTGTTCAAATAGGGCAAAAAATAAGTTTCATTAATAATATACTTACAAGGGGAGTACCACAAAGCGAATGTTCTTGTTCAGCCCCTCGATCGCCTTCATCTCCTCTTCTGACAGAGAGAAGTCGAAAACCTGCAGTTTTGACAAATGAGCCAGAACTTAAATTCGTCGCATCTTGTTCATAACCAGTTTGGATTCGTCAATGATCAGGCGCGAAGCAAGCATACTTGGAAGTTGTCTTTTATGCGATCCAGGTTGGAGCTCTTGGGGACGACCACCACTCCTCTCTGCATGTTGAACCTGAGGCACACCTGCGCTGTGGTCTTTTTGTACTTTTGGGCAATTGAGGTCAGAAGCTTGTCCTCTAACATCGGGGGGCATTCTAAGTTTACCCTGTTTTACAAAAAGATGATACTGACAGTATTAAGTGGAGGATAGACACGTGATTAATGCCAATACATAATATGGCTGATCATTTAAATATAGCTATGGGGTGAGCTTATTTATTTATTTATTTTGTAAAAAGAACAATGCATTGTTCACTATTATAAATAATAAAGTTCTCACCACGATGGATCCCTGTTTGTGCCAAGTGGGCTGTAACCAACAATCACGATGTTCTTCTCGCGACAGTATTCAAACAGCTTCGGCTGGGTGAAGTACGGGTGACATTCAACCTGTGTTAGAAAGAACAAAAGTACATTTTGTTTGGAAATTAGAAAATACTTCACTTAGTAACTGGTATTAGATCATCCACTTATTGACATTCGAGTATTTGTAGTGCAGCTATTAGAGCAATGTACTGCCTCTACTTCTGAGTAATTCACTATTACTGCTTAATAATGAATTATAAACTGTTTAAAGCTTAATTAATGGCTGTCTACTGGTTAATTACTATTTATTACTAGTTATTTACAATGTATCACATAAAAGGGGGTTTATAATAAAATGGTGCTGACTTGTCAATATGGTTATTATTTAATTCTTTGTATCTTCCTTTTTAGCTCTGTTTTCGTAGAACAGCCAGCATTAGTAGTACACTGAATATGTGCTTGTTCTTTTGTAACAGTTCAATGGGTGATGACTGATTTTATCACTTATTTATGCATTGGACAGGGGGACGACAGGCAGACTCAGTGCAATAGCTGACATTGGTTGTATAGACTAGAGGGTGAAGATGAAGGGAGAGAGGACCGTCCCTTGTGGAGTCAGAGTGTTTCTCACAACACTGTCTGACACACAGTGTCCCAACCGCACAAACTGTGGTCTGCTGGTCAGACAGTCCACAATCCAGGACACAAGGAGAGGATCATCACTGTCATCACTGTCAGCTTCTCACCCATTAGAGCCGGACGGAGGGTATTGAATGCACTGGAAAAGCCAAAACAACATCAATCTCATGTGTACGCGGTTGAACAGGAAGATGATGGCTTCCTAAGTTCCAAGCTTGGGCTGGTAGGCAAACTGTCAGGACGAGTCTCTCCAGGGTCAGCGCTGTTTGTAATCCTTGGAGTCACAAGGTCGCTCTTGTCTTCGGCTGCGGAACAATGCAGGGTGCTTTCTACGTCACAGGGACCCTCTAGATGCTGGAGGACTCCACAGAGCTGGATGGCACAAGCGTGCCAGAGTGGAGTCTTACCTGCTGTCTTCTAACATCTTCAAGGGTTATGTTTACCGTAGAGATGGCTGGCTGAAGAGTGGAGGGAGGGATGAAAGTGAGACTCACATGGGGATGAAGGGAAGGACCCAGGAGGGAGAGGGGGGAGCGGGTGAACAGCAGCAGTGGAATTGACAGAAGTATAGGTGGGAGGTGCAGAGGTTGTGTGTCAAATATATTTAAAAACATTGAGATTGAGCTCATTGGTCCTGTTGACCTCAACCGCCCTCTTGCCTGCTGACCCGAATCCTTTGACAGTCACGTGATCAATCTTGCTGCTATTCATGACGTCAATTGCCATTTTATCTCCAGAAGAGCATTTTATTTTATTTGGATGACGCAGGCAGCGTGTGGTGGTTTCTGGGTGACAATGGCCGTATCGTGGCTGCATTGGCGCCAGGTCTTCAACCTCCCATCCACTCCTTGTTCTCACAACTGGAGGATCTGAATGCAAACAAAGCTGCATTAATCCCGGTCCACAACTTTATGGGAGTTGGGGGGGGCTTGAAACGTGGGGTGCCAAACAGGCTAGGACCGCCTCTGACTGTAGTGTAAAGTGCACAGAACAAAAGCCTGCAGCTACTTGTTGATTCATGTTTATCAACTATTTGCTTATTACTGGTTTCTTGTAGTTCATGAACTACTTATTAACTTATTATGCTTTTTGTTTCTGTTAATTAAGACTGTGTTCTGTTATTTAATTTTTGCAAATTCTAAGAAGTTTTGGTAATTAATTTTAGTCTAAAGCAGACAGAAGTCAAATGATGTAACTGCACCTGATGTAGCATCTCATTACAGATTACTGCCGACTTGTAGCTTGTGGTTTATTCCTTATTTATTAACTATTTATTCATTATATATGACATAAGACTATGACATTTAATAACTCAATGTTTATGCCTTTATTTGAACTTTGCAGCTGTCGTGACAATATCACCTTACAAGTTTTAAAACATAAGAATTGCTTTTCATTTATTACAAGTTTATTAACTATTTACTCTTTTACAAGATTTTTTTTTTCAATCTGGTAACAGACAAGTTGCCATTTCATTCTTCCCATCTTCAAAAATGTCAAACTATGTTGTCAGTGCTATGATGAGAGTACCTGGTTTGCGACTGGTTTATGTTTCAGCCCAGGTTTGTTCAGGATCAGCTCCAGCTGGCGCTTGTTGAAGTTGGATACGCCGATTGACTTTGCCAGCCCAGCGTCCTTACAAGCTTCCATAGCCTGTTCAAGACGTACAATAAATATTTTTATAAAAACAAAGATCATGAATCCCGATGACAAAGTTTGATGTCTTCTTTGACCTCGGCTCTCTTATCTTGCAACTGCTGTAAACTGTTGTAGACTGTCCTTTGCAGTCTCAAATTTGGACCAGAAGTATGAATGAAACGTTTTAAATGACAAGGATTTCTCACCGCCCACGTGGCGCAGAGGTCTGTCTTGTGATAAGCACACCTCCCGTTCTCATCTTGTGGGTAGAACGAATCTCCTGGCTTCAAAAATGGAACAGGACCTTTCAATTTGGCAAACGACATCTCACAAATAAGATTTTTGACCCTATGCATGTCACAAAACCTGTGCCGAACCCTGAAAGCAGTGGGCATTTCTATAATGTACAAGTCCACATAGTCCAGCTGTAATGCCTGCAGGGTTTTCTCCAAAGCAGGACGCACCAACTCAGGGGGATGGAATGTGTTCCACAACTGTGAAAAATAATTGTGACCCCAAAAGAACAACAACAACAAAAAAAGGGTGTTAGTTGTTCAGCAGATAGTCTTCTGTGACCTTGAACATTGTCCCGAGGGTGGAAAATGTTCAACGGTCAATTCCCAAACAGGCAAACCTTTCCACAGTAGAAGATGTCCTCTCTCTTTATAGTCCCATCTGCAATTTTCTCTCGGATTGCTTGACCCACTTCGTCTTCGTTGCAATAGATCAAGGCTCCATCAATGTGCCTGTACCCAACCTCGATGGCCCATCTGACAGCTGCCAAGGCGGTTCCATTGGGAGTCTGTCAACAAACGGATCCTCCTTGACTACAATGTCTTCAAGAAAACGTCATGGTGCCACACCGTGCGAAGACATGACAATCTTACGGTTTGAGGATTGGAATAGGTACCCAGTCCAATCAAAGGGATGCTGTTTCCATCGCTCAAAGGAACTGAGTGTGTTTTGGGTGTCAGTGCCATATTTGACCAAAGGGTTTGCTGAACCCTGTCTCCAGATGGAGCCAATCACACCAACCGCAGAGTGGGTGTGTCCTCTCCTTGATGAGGCAGGTAACTCCTCCCACACCTGTCAGCACAAACAGACTTGATAAACCTGAACATTGCCTAAGCAGCTCGCACTGAACGTTCAGTCACCTGATTGTGGCCACGAACGTTCGCCGAGGGTCGAAAATGAAACGAAACGAAACGATGAAAATAAAATGAAAAAAACGAAATGAATTTAACGTCCGCTGAACGGTGCGTGCGAACGTTGGACGTCCGTTTGATGACGTATGTACTCTGCTATGATTGTAAGTAAATAAAGAGATATTGTCAATGAAACTTTTTTTATTTTTTTTTTTAGAAAATTTAAGTGGTGCAGAGCATCGATTTTAATGGAGTGGGATTTGAAAACTTTCAAATAATAATAATAATAATAATAATAAATTATATACAATGTATATATATTTATAAACTATTGACAATATATAGGCCGTTGTAAGACCAGAACATCAAAGCTTGTCCAGAAACTTGCTCAATCAATTTAGTCAAGTAATAAGTTACTTCCCACCTCTGCTTAGAATAATATGCAGATAGGAATATAAATGCCATTAGCCGCATAGTGGACTGTTATCTTTATAACTAATAGTGCACTTATTATATATCCCAAATGCCTCTAGAGTTTGTTTGAAAATATGTGAAAAAGTCTTTCACATTTGGCAGCCTCCTGTACTAATGCTTTTCTTTCATTTAATCTGTTTTTCTTTTTATCCATTTTTGCATTCTCCACTCCTCATGTACGTGTGTAGGAAATTGATTATTTTAAAGCTGTTGACTTTAATGCATAGTTTGTCCTTGATGGGACACCGTAGCTGCAAAATCCAGCTGCGCCGTATGGTTCAAGTGCTCTGGTTTTGGTGCGATGGGAATTACGGATATTTTTGGGGATCCGGATCAAATGGCTTCACTGAAAGACGTCTTTCGTCGTTTCACACCCTTAGATTTTGATTTAGTAGTTGCGCATTAATTCATACGAAGAATAGTGATCTTATTCGGGACACCAAAATTTTAACTATTTACATCATGGAGTTACATCATCGCCCATCACTTCATACTATAATAATGATTATAATAAAAAAAATAACACAATAAATAACACAAGTTGTCCCCTGACATTCCTTAGTTTGATCTCGATTTTGTTTGTCCTTTTAATTTGTGATTATTTACTTGGTTTCTGTTTCTTTATTTTCAGAACCTTTGTAAACTTTCAGAGCCGGCACTTCAATCCGACTCGGCCACGAACGACACGTAGCCAGTGTTTTGAGAGAGAGAAAAAAAGAAAGCACGGCAGCTAGCCGATCGCTAATGGACGTGTGAGCTGAAAATATCTTGCGTCTAACCTATTTTCTGTACATACGGAACTACTGGACTTTCTGTGTTGCAGGTTAAAAAACAAAATCACCGCCACAAAGTGGAAACAGCGTTTTTTTTTTGTCTAACGTTTGTGCGTTTGAAGTTAGCTACATCGCTAATTTAGCTCCACAAACGAGCAGCAATAAGCTAACTCGTGTCGTTTCCTTTTTTATTTCATGATTTACTATTTCAATTGATTCACTCGGGATCGAAGACGCCTCTGTGTGCGATGTTAGCCCACTCTTTTCATCCAAATGAGTGAAACAAAAGGCTACCGTTTCGATGCTAGGCGATGCTAGCCGCACTGATTAACCGGCTGGAGTTATCGTGACGCGACAGAAATGGACGAGAGTGTCGACAGCGACGACCTCGTCATCATCGTGGAGAACGAGGCGGAGAGTTTGCCCGCGGGGGAAGAGAAGGTGAAGCAGCTGGGCGCCTTCGGGCTCATGGACACATGTCCCATCTGCAAGCTGAGCTTCCACAACAGGGAGCCGAAGCTGCTGCCCTGCCTGCACTCCTTCTGCCGGAGGTGCCTGCCTCCCCCGCTGAGGAGCGCCGAGCCGAGGCGGGACCCGCACGGTCCAGGTGATGATATTCACTCCTCCACAGACACTGGAGCTCAGTTTTTTTTTATCACCTTTTGATAAGAATGTGTCCTTTAATCTGCCTGTCTTTAAAGCAAAAAATAAAAAATAAAAACATAACCGCACACATCGATTATCAGCTCTGATATTAATATTTCATTGAAAATAGAATTGTTTCTCCAAACTGCTGCAACCAAATGGATGCCATGGGTAGAAAGTGGTGCATTTATGTAAAGTTGTAAAAATAAGTTTTAAGTGTGTGGAGGCTGAATCATTTTAGGACCTCAGCTCATACCTCACTCTGACACAGGGGTGAGAAATTATTGTATCGTTTATTGTGGAAGATTTCTTTTGATTTAATTTTGTGATAAACTAGTGAGAGTAACTAAAAGAACTAAACCGACAGTGTGATGATGGCAAATGCTGCTATTTTTTATGCCGAGCATCAATAAATATCAGTAGATCCAAAAACAGGATAAGTGCAGCTACTGTGTGCAGTTTATGAATATAAAGAAATACTTTAAAAATACCACAAATAAGTGGTATCCTGAAGATGCTTATTTTAAATGAGAATGTTTTTAAAGAACGGTGTTTGTGGTGCAGGGAATGCTGTTCCAATCAGTTACAGACAACAAAAAACTGTAAATACAATTTACAGTTGTATTGCTTGTTAAATAAACCCAATAATTCAATAATGTGTTTTTCCTGCTATAGTTGGTTCCATTCGGTGTCCGGTGTGCGGACAGGAATGCTGGGAGATTGACGTGCTGGACAACTTCTTTGTCAAGGACTCCGCCGAGGTGCCCAGCAGCACGGTGGAGAAAACCAGCCAGGTTCGGCCTCACAGCCCCTCGCCCGCTCTCATCAGAGCGGATCGTCTTGTAAAAAAACAATAAATAAATTCCTTGCAAACTGTGCGCCTTTCCCGCTCATCTTTCATTGTGTTTTTCCTCTCCGTCCCTCTGCTCCCGCCAGGTGTGCATGAGCTGCGACGACAACACCGAGGCGACGGGATACTGCGTGGAGTGCGTGGAGTTCCTCTGCTTGACGTGCATCGAGGCGCACCAGAGGGTGAAGTTCACCCGGGACCATACCATACGTCAGAAGGAGGAGATGTCTCCAGGTAGGGCGCAGGCACATTGCAGCGAAGTTTCTTGAAGTTTGCTCTTTTTATTAAGGAATACACTCGCTGTTTTTTTTTTTCTTTGTTTTGACTGGTTAATGTCAATATGGGGCAACAGCTGGGATATTGATTAGATTGCGATTACTTTCATTTTACGACAGATTACTGTCCAGTTGGCTTGGTTTCAAACCAAGCGCTGCGCAACTATCCAAACTGTGCATTTGAGTAGTTCTAAAAGTGTAATATTTATCTGTTCGTAACAGACATTTTGTTTCTCTGTATGTAGCTGATTGCAATTTATCCATGTTTGATAAAGTAGTTGCTGCTTTTCTTCTCTCCAATCTACTAAAATAGTGATTATTTTAGTCATTTATCCTTCTATCGACTGTTCTGATGATTAATCGGATAAAGTAGATTGGCACATTCTGCGTTTCTTTTTTATATTTTTTATTTTATTAAACCACTTAAACTCAATAAGTGCATAAAACCTGCAAATAAACAAATAATTCAATTCCTTTTTTAAAGAACAAAAGTAAACATTGTATTGCCTGACATGCAAAGCTTTCTTTTAGGACTCACCTGTAGCTAAATGATGCTTCCAATAAGACATGAAAAGCTCAGCCTTTTCTTCTCGACTGTAGGGCTGTGTGTCGGTTATTACTATTTTGATTAACAGATTAATAATTGGGTAGAAGAAAGCGCTTAATAGGAAACTTAAATGTTCCGGCGGCAGCGCTCCAATGTTTTCTCATGAACATTGTTTTCTCCTGTGTTCTCCTCCGGCGCAGAGGCTCTCGGTGTGTCCACGCAGAAGCCCGTCTTCTGCGACGTTCACAAGCAGGAGCCGCTGAAGCTGTTCTGCGAGACGTGCGACCGGCTCACTTGTCGAGACTGCCAGCTCCTCAAACACAAGGACCACAAGTAATATTGCCGATGATTTAGCAAGAAGGGCGGATTTTTGCACATAAGCGCCAAACCGTCGGGACAAATCATGACAGATATTTCCAAAAAAATGAAAAATAAAGGTCTTCTTGTCTTGTCTTTTACCCTCATGTTGTTGTTTTCTTTTATGTCCAGCTACCAGTTTTTGGAGGATGCGTACAGGAACCATAAGCAGTATCTGGAAACCATGACGCTGCAGTTGCAGGAAAAGAGAAAAGCCATTGAAGAAGTGTCAAGCTGTATCAACTCCGGGTAAAATTGTGCAACACGGCTGGATTCAAACGCATCTTTGAAAGGATTCGCTTTAATTTACTGTGCTTTGGTTTGAAATGTTTGTAATATTGTTCCGACAGTTGGAATTTTTGACTTGAATTTAATCCCCATCAGCAGTCAGATATCAGCTGTAGCAACAAATCATTATTCTTTTTTTTAAACAACCAAATTAGGCAAGATGAGTTTAATTTTTAGACAGAATTCTGCTTTTAAAGGTTTCTGAAGTCCAAAATGTTTAGAAAAGGAAGACGTGACAGAAAGAGGAAGCTATTGACAACTGACAGGTTTTAATAAAACACACATTAAACATAGAAATTACTAATACAGAACTACTGAGCGAAAAGCTGAAGAAAAATAGGCTCCAGTTTTCTCACAAATTTTTTTCACAAAGGTTTTGGGATCATCTGATGTGAAACAAAACCATGCTAAATGCTTGCTGTTTTTCTGTCATGTCTGAATAATTTTGAGACCCGGTAGTCGTTTAAAGTGTCTACTTGTTCTTGTTTCATTTATTTATTTCAAAACAGCTGACAGTTTTAACCCTAATTAAGTAATCATGAAGATTTAGTCAATTTGGATCTGTAACATCAAATTCCATCTCCGTCTCAACAGTCTGCAGCAAGTGGAGGAAAACCGGAAAGCTGTGACGAACGAAATCAAGAAGTCTATCTGTAACCTGATCATGGAGATCAACAGGAAGGGAAAGATCCTGATAAACCAGCTCGAGGTGTGTTTGCATTTCCCTTCTGTCCGAAGTCCTCTGGTGACGTTCCAGTGAACACCGCTCTCGCCCTCAGGCGCTGACTAAGGACCACGATTTGGCTCTGAAGAAGCAGCAGGATGACATCAACGCTCTGACGAGGCAGCTGGATCACGTGATCAGCTTCACCAAGTGGGCGACGGCGAGTCACAGCGGAACGGCTCTGCTGTACTGCAAGAGA